ATAAATATTGCTAACAGAGAAAAAACATTATAGAATGTTTCTCATTCATTTGTCACATATCTTCCTTGTTGGGATTTTATGTATACATTCGTCTAGATTATGTACTTTGCTCGATAAAGAATCAATTTCGAATTCAACAGTGCAAAAACTATTTCTTGTCTTTTAGCTAATATCTGTACTAACTCGATGAAGTATCCAATTATTATGAAGATATTCCAGGCCAAGTAATAACATAATCATATATGATTTTGTATGTGTTGCTGTTAATAGAATATTTCTATTATTAATAATATTCTACAAAAAAATAAAGAGTTTTTTTTTTTTTGTTTATTTTTATATTCAAAATAAAACTATAAATAATTTACTTCAAGATCAGTATTCATAAATTCAAAGACTAGACAAATACTTGGACTATTTGAACCATATTCTCCAAATGAATCAAGTAACTTAAGATAAATAAAAAAAAAAAATTTTTTTTGAATAATTAAATTCAAACGAAAAAAAAAACATTTTCAATACTTCAATAACATTTGGATGTTTAACTTCTTGAAGAAATTTAATTTCTCTTAAAGCTGTTAAATTAATTCCATCAGATGCTTCTTGTCGACTACCAATTTTAATTTTTTTTACTGCAACATCATCATTTGTTCGTGTATCTTTTGCTTTATACACAACAGCATACTAATTACAAAAAAACAATGACGGTTTTTTTTATTATTCTTATTTTTTATATTTATTTATTTATTTCAATGCTACCTGTCCTTCACCAAGTACTTTAATAAAATTATATCGACGAATTTTAGCCGACATTCTTATTTTCTAGAAAACATAAATTTCATGAATAACCAAGAATAAACGAGTGATATGGACAAAAAAAAGACATAATAAATACAAAAATATACATAAAAAAAAAAGTGATCATAAAACATAGAAGCAAAATATGACAAATCAGAGATCAAGATTGATAATTTCCAATAACTCGACGAATAAGATCATTAATATCCTAAAAAACGGAAATTATTTTTTACATTTTATAAATGAATATTTTTGTCTTTTACCGATGGTCGACATGAATCTTCAATCCAACGAAGAATTGTTGATGCAAATTGAGAAAAATTTGTTATTTGTCCTGATTGCATTGCTTGATCAAAACTCACAAAAATTGCATCAGCAATATTTTGAAACTATTAAAAAGAAAACTTCTTTCTTTCTTTTTTTGTTTTCAAAATTTAATCAATCAAATTAAACATACCACTTTAAATTTATGTTCATCATCAAGTGCTTTATTAGCATTTTTCCTTGAATTCATATTCATTTCAAGAATATCTTCATACGTTCTATTTTTCAAAAATAATAAAAAATACAAAAAAAACAAAACAAAGCAAACTTTTGAACTGCATGTAAACAAAATATCTCTTTCTTTTTCGCTTCTAATTGACTATTTAATTGTTGTTGTTCTTTATTTAATTGCATAAGATAATCAGTAGCTAAACAATTTAAAAAAAATATATTTTTCATTGAAAACTTTTTCTTTTTTTTTGTTTAACTCACATCGTTTAAGTATTGCTGCTTTACTAACCTTTTGTGAACTTATTGGATCAAGTAAATGACTATTAGGTACAAGACTTTGTAAAGCATCATATCCTTTCTAATAAATAAAAATTATAAAAAAAAGAACAAAGATTTAACTTAATATTTTTGTTTTTAAATTACTCGAATAGCATTTCGACGTTTTTGTTCTGCAGCTGTATGAGCAGCTCGTCTTCGACTATCATCTCTTTTTGTTCCTGAATTTTTCTCAATAACACCACTTGACATATTCATATTTATTGAATCACCTTCATCATCATCATCATCATCATCTTCATCTGTAGTAAAAAACAAAAAAAAACAATCCTAAGATTCAATGTTATAATTTTTAACAAACCAGTATGATCAGCTGATGATGATTGAGTTTGTACTGTTGATTGTGGTATAACTTGTTGAATAAATTGACGTTTTTTAAATGGTGAAGCTAATTGATCTGTTCCTGAATAACTACGTTTTAATTGATTGTCATTACCATTTATTCCTTCATAATAATGAACAGCTAAGAATTTATTTTTAAAAATTAATCAAATATTTAAAAAAAAGAATTTTTTTTTTCCTACATACCTCCATCATAATGAGATGTTACTTGAGAATTTACAGGTAACTAAAATGACGAAATAAATCATTTAAATAAAACAAAAACAAAAAAAAAGAACATTTACTTTTAAATGTGATTTTGTTGCTTGATTAACATCTTGTTGATGCCAATAATCCGTTTTTCCTGATGTATCCATATGATCTACAATAGATTTCATCTGAATGTTTTCTTTATATATATGATCATATGAAAATAAACACAGAAAAATAATAAATCATTTGATCTTTGCGATAGAAAATTATTATAATAAGCAAGAGCGAGAAAAAAAAAGTATCAATCTGACTAATGAACATTCGAATTAGCTCGTTCACATAATCGAGCAAGTAATGATGATAATTGTAATTGGGATTCAACACCTTGTGTAACACGCATATATGTCAAACCAATTTCCTTAAATGAAAAAAACAAAAACAAAAAAAGAATTTTAATATTAATCATTAAATTTATTTTTCTTTTACTCGAATAAATTCAAGTTGTATAAATTCACTCATTGGATATGTTTTAGTTACACGCATTATCACAGAAAGAATATCTTCAGCTGTATAACCTATTTTAATAAATAATAATTAATAAGAATAATTCTTGTATATATATATATAATTTAACCTAATCGCCAAAGATGATTCATTGCTTTATATGCTTCATCGAGATCACTTTTAAGACATTTTTCAATCATATCACGAATTAAAATTGGATGTGGTTCATCACATACTTTAAATACATTTTCACTATTTACATGACCAAATCCGAATACAGTTGATTGAAGATTATTAATAGCCTATAAATCATTTTTCAATAAAAGAAAATAAAAATAAAAATAATTCTACTTGTCGCATATCTCCTTGTGCTGTAAAAATAATTGCTTCAAGACCTTCAGATGTAAATGAAACTTGTTCAGCATTAGCTATTTCAATTAAACGTTTTAATAATTGTTCATCATTTAATTTTGAATATCGTAACATTGCACATCGAGATTGAATTGGTTCTTAATTAATATTTATATTAAATGAAAAAAGAAAAACAAAACAAGACATACCAATAATTTTATCTGAAGCATTACATGCAAGTGCAAATCGAGTTGTTTTAGAATATAATTCCATTGTACGACGTAATGCTTGTTGAGCACCTTCTGTCATACTAAAAAACAAAAACAAAAAAACAACCCGGTAAAAAAAAACATTGATGATAAAATATATTCGATTTTCAACCTGTCAGCTTCATCAAGAATGATTATTTTATGTCGTCCTTTTGGTAATGATACTTTTGATTGTGCAAACATTTTAATTTTTGTTCGAACAACATCAATACCACGATCATTAGATGCATTCATTTCAAGTACAGCTTCACGAAAAGCATCACCTAACATTTGTCTTGCAAGACATAAAACACTTGTTGTCTAAATAAAAAAAAGCTTCCACGTTTTTTATAATTACAAGAGAAACAAAAATCATACTTTTCCACATCCAGGTGGACCTGATATAATAATATTAGGTAAATTTCCTTGTCGAGCAAAATGAGTAAGACGTGATATTGCTTCTTCATTACCAACAATATCATCAAGTTTAGTTGGACGATATTTTTCAAGCCAAGGTATATGTTTTGTTACTGTTGATTTTGAAATAACATCAAGTTCTTTCGTTTGAATAGGTGCATTATTTTCTTTTGTACTTGATGCATTAATATCAATCATTTCAACATCTTCTGAATCTCTTCTATCATTATCCATTTGTCGTAAATATCTGAAGATAAAAAAAAAAATTGTTGAATAATTAGATAGAAAATATATCAATCATAATCAATTAATTCTTCAATTATTTATAACTATCATAAAATAGTGAAATCGATATATGTATGAAAAAAATTAATAAGATAGAACAAAACAAAACCCCAACGAATAAATACAATTGTGCTGTGATCTGATGTAGTGGTATGTCGATCGTCGATAGATGACCTCACTAATCAGTAACTTAAACTAAAATGTCATGTGTCTGATTATAAACGAAGTTTTTTTTGTAAATATAATTCGCTTTATATTTTTATTTATAATTTTTAATAGATTGATCTATATTGATAAAAATTGAGTTATAACTCCTTCGACTGAATATAAAGTATCAAATAATGAAGAACAATTTAAATTAATTTTTGAAAAGTAATAAATAAAATTTATGTCATATCTATTATGAACGATTTTAAAAAATGTATAGACTTCTTTCAATGATTTATGTTGATATAACAACTAGCAAAAGAAATTATTTTGTTTATATAATAAGCTATCAAACATTATTTGACATATCTGTTATAAATGATAATGATATTTTTTTTTTGTTCATCATATCAATACTTGACTCGATGTTAAATTGTTTTATCTTTAAGATTTTATTGATATCGATGTAAAATAAGATAATCAAATAAATTTGAATGTTGATATTGAACACGATGAAGATCTTAAGATTATCTTTAGATAATATTTCTGACGCAGTTCTAGTACAAGTAGGACGTTTTGATGCAAATATCAATAGTTCACTATGTTTCTTATCAAACAATGGATAATATTTTTGGATAGCATTCGATTAATTTTCGAATAGATACATTATATAATCATAGATAATATAATGACTATGAAATGAATTTGATTTAACTTTAGCATTATACAACGTTATTTAAGCATTTCAGAAGATTCATGATAATAATTGATATTATTGTTTGATGACATATCAACAATATAACATATCAAGCATAGATTATAATATTGATCTTTACTAGTATCAATCGGTTATTTCGATATAGCTAACATTATAGTATCTCTTGTTACTTAACAATAGATGAATATGTTATCATTTTGATCATTATTAGCTTGAGATTGATGACAACATTGTGAAATAGTTATAGGAATACAAATATATTGTATACAATTAACAGCTGCTAATCTTATAATAGTTCCACGATGAAAACAAAAATATTTATTAACAATTTTTTTTTTTGTTAATTTCTTCAAGAAAATATTTTTTTTTATAAAGAATATCTATTGCATCTAGTTAATGTACAATGCTAAGATCAATAACACATAACCAGTAGTCGTTAATTTATGATGAAAAAGTATTTCCAGATGAATTTTAAACAGATGATAATAATCAATTAAATACATGTTTTGATATATAAACATGATCAATATTCATTCAATGTTAGTGAATATCTTAATTTTAATATTGATTATTTTCTTCTGTAATTCAATCAATGTTAATAGTTTCGTAGCAGCTGCATATTCATTAATTAGGTATAGAACAATGTAATTTAATCTTATAAAAATATTGAATTTGATCTTGTAATGTTCCAGAATATTTAAGTCATGTTTGTTGTTTTTTATACATTTCTACTTGCACTGTATGTTGTTGTTGTTGGTTGAATGAAACAATCAGCATCTGGATGAAACATTAATTCATGTTTAAAAACGATTAAGATATCACCATAATAATACATAGTTGATAACAAGTAACAACAATACCTGCTGATCTTACAGGAAAATCATTCAATGAAACAGCTTTATCAAATTCAATAACTACTAAAGTTCGAATAAAATCTTGATCATAACTTTGTAATATTGTATTATTATGCTGACAAAATATATTTCATATATTTGGATATTGATGGACAACATTTACTACAAATTGTGTATCACGTAATATATTTATATATTTTCTACCTATAAAATGATCATGAACATGAATTGATTCGATAATTTCTCCTAGCATAATTTTTTTTTCAGAGATTTCCATATTTGAAATTCCGTATATGTGCGAATGATTGCGAACAAAATTAATATTTACATTTAACTCGAGAATAACGAATAATACCAACATGATTATAATTATCAGTATGATGATAACGTAAGATATGATCACCAGTCTGTCGTTTATGACATTCAGAACTTGAATATTTATATATATATAAAATGAATGTCATATATATTAAGATGTGTAAATTGAATTTAAATATTCTTGATTCGCCAATTTTGAAAAAATATTTGTTTTATGACATTGACATTCTAATGAACAAATATGAGAGAAACGAATACAATGTTCTTTAAATTCTTATTTTATTATTGATAATGATCTGCATTTTTTGTAAATATACTACATGATATTGATCTACAAAAGGTATTCAAGAGCAATGTATACGAAATAGATATTCTTGGTTATGAAAATTAATATAATAATCCACGTTGATAATGACGATAATGATCAGATATTTTCTTAAGATAGACAAGACATAGGATGCCATCTTTACATAAATATGTATATGATGAAATTTCATCAAACGAACTTTATCCATATTTGTAAAAAAAAAATTAAAATGACAATCGAAACAAAATTCTGAATGAAATGCAATATTTTTCATCTTCTATAATTTTAAATGCATCATCATGTAAACATTTCGTATGATAAATGACTTTTAAGCGTTCTTTATCATTTAAGGGTTGATCACATGATTCGTTGCGAGCACAAAGTGGTAGATAAGAATAATAATGACAATATTGCGCATTATTTAAATCATAATATAGTCAATCGTATTTACACGATGGTAGATGACTTTTACTTATAACTCTAAGAGTTCTATTAATCATATAAATATTGAATTCATGCTTCAATGGTTGAATAATCATATCATTCAGAACAACTTTGACTGGTTGATATAATTAAGCCAATTAATTATATTATGATAATTGATAATAGAAAAATAATTTTTTTATTTATAAAGTATCCAACATATTGTTCAATAACCGTTGTACACTTTCAACTTATCAGCTTATTTATTATGATTAAGTTTTATATTTTCTTCTTATACTTCAGTTTCTTTTTTTTTTCGAAAAGTACCATCTGGTATTTTAGCACTTTGGTCTTATTGAATAAGACAGGATGACTAATCTTCATTGACAAGGTTTATTATAATTAATGAAAATGATATAATAAGAGACGTGGGTGTTTTTTTTCGGTGTTACAGATTGTCGATAAATTGTTTTAGATCAAGTTTGATAGTCAAGTATTTATTTTCCATGTTATCTGGATGATTAATTATCAATAAGTACAATGTGATATAGAGCCTGTTATCGTACATGTTTCATAGATAGGTTTATCTAGAACTTCACTAATAAGTTTATCAACAATAGGTACAGCATACGTCATAACATTTTCAAATTATTTATGTTGTATGACAATGTGAATCGAAATCTCACGAGATAAAGAATAGATAACAGGACGAAATGCCGAAGAACTTTCTTTTTAGATAAAATAATTGATATTAGTCCATTGACGTGGTGTATTAGTGACGAGAACCATAATATTTGATGTATCTTTATTATATTGAACATAAAGTAAAGATTAATCAACAATGTGTGTATTAATTGTAACTGTAATTCAAGATGAAGTTACATTTTGTAGTACATCGTAAAGAAATCCTACAATCAGCTTTTAAATAAATCTGGGAAAATTGATCTTTGATTTCAGGAAGATCTAGATTTCGAACAGCAAAAATAAGAGATAAATTCAAGTTCTTCGACAAATTTAATGATTATCAAATATGGTGGATTGTAGTTTTTTTTTTTTTTGCAAGATAATTTTTGTCTTCTCTATTTGCAACATAAATGATAACAACACTAATATTTGAATAACATATGATTGTTATTAAGCTGTAATCAAATTATTTATTTTAATTTTGTATTCGATTTATCAAATGGTAAATCAGGTATTCAGATATTGATGCAAATTATTGACGATATTGATTTATTTTCTTCAACTAATAATAATTTAATGTCGCTCTCTGTCGTTGATTTTTCTCCGGAAAGAATGAAATAGCAATTTAGTTCTAATTTCAGGCAATATGATCGTGACAATAATTTTTAGACATGTCATTTGAATGAGTGCATATACTCCATATATCGAACAATAATTTACGTTATTTTCATTTCCAAATTGACATGCTTCACATTACCGTTCGAGAGGAAATTAATCTTGTTGTAGCAACAATTTTTCGAAAAAAAAGTTTCCTGTTTTTTTAATGATGATAAGAAACACTTCAAAGGATCATCAGTGGAAGTAGTTGCAAATGTTTTTTTAGAATACAGTTGTAATTATACAAAGAATAATCAATTGATATATGTACAGCTATTACAAGACCATGATTCGAAAGAATTGTTTAATATTGTCGATTCGTTTGAGATGAATATCCAAAGTTCTATTGTCTTTTCTAAAATCTGAAAAAAAATTTAAAGAAAGCAGATACCAATGTCAACGAATAAAATATGTTGCGTATACAATACTTTACGAGATAAAATGACAGTTTCAGAGATCATGTTTTTTTTTGTCATTACTTCACAATATACCCTTCAACAGTTATGAATGAATTAAGTCTTTGTAAATAAAAGAACAGGAAATCCTAAAAAGTCAGAACGAACTTTTCATTTTATTCATCTAAATGATGAAACATGTCAATCTTATTTACACTAAAAAACATTAAAGTTGGCATTTGTATCAATCTAAAATTACAATGAATTCATTTTTAATTCTAATCAATATAATTTTATAAATTATGCATGACTCACATCATCTTCGTGATATATTTCTTGTTTTAATACCGATGAAAACGAGTTATTTTCATAGAAATAATATTTTGCCGGTCGATCATCAACATATATTATGATAATATCTATGCTGACATTTAACTATACTATCATAAGACTACCGTCATACTTTGGTTAATGATAGAGATCATGTTGTTATTCATCATATTAGCCATTCGTGTTAGTATTTATTGCAATGTAGAATTATTAGAAACATATATTACACAAAAAACGTACGCTGTTATGTGTTGTATGTTGGGCAAAAATGAAGGCAAAAGCGAACAACATGTTGAATAAATATTTGTGTTGTCTTTTTGTTCCACTCTTTGCTAGCATACGTTAAACAGAACCGATAAAAAAAGATGGTTTTGTTTAAAGAAAGAACATACTTGTTTTCTATATATATATATTTAACAGATTATCTGAAGGAAAAAAAAATCTGTTTGATCAAAATAATAGTACTTTAATTTCGCCCATTATTTATTTGCTAGTGTTTCGAAGTACATAGTAACATAAAATATGCAACATATGTTGTACTTTGCGACACATTGTAGAGTGTTTCATAAGCCTTGAGGCACGATAAAATTAGCTTTTATGCAGACAAAAAAGTAACCATTAATCGAATGTTTTATATATATATATATGAGTCTTGAGTGCTCGTGTCACTTTTTCAAATAACATATTATTAGATAATATCTTCTCTTGTAATAATAAAAATATAAATATGAGAATAAATTTGTCACAATCGACGAACAAAATTTTTTATTACAAAAAATAATGAAAAATACTCTATTTTATAAATACATCAACGATGCTCCATAATAATTGAGGATAAATTGTCAACGATATTCTTTATAATTTTTCTTGATGTAGAAGACTGAAATTTTTCTCATATGATATTTATTTAATATTTAGTTGAATTCAAGTAAAGACTTATATCAGATTCCGAAATTCGACGTTGAAGTCGGAGGTACATCATAAAAACAGTCCAACATTTTTTTTCTTATAGACCAACAAGTTTATGCTTCATATATTAAGTAATGACCAAAAAAAAAACAGAGAGAAACTCACATTAACAAATAGCACAAAAAAGAAGTATACATTGGTTCCAAAAAAAGTGATCCGACAAATTTAATTTCAATTTTTTCCATAATGGTAACTCTCTTTAAGAATCTAAGTAGTGCCTTAAATAGAAAAAATTGTTTCCAATAAGGATTTGGGCCAAAATAAAATCTTTTCACTCCCTTGAGCTTGAAGAAAAAGTCTCTTTTGATTATACAAAGCAATAGAGCAATTGATTCTCTAAAAAATGATACGTCTTCGAGCTCTTTACGAAATCTTTTTATGACAGAGCCTACATCAATATTAACCCATGTAATGAAAACTGGAGAAAAATCGGCGGTTCTTTCCAGTAAACCCCGGTTAACCAATCCTTCTGTGCAGTTAATCGACACCGTTTGATTTTTTATTTCGTTAAGATTTGTACTTAAATTTAACAGTTATTATAGATATAGAAGTAAAGCAAAGTCGATCGAATTTCAACGTGTCTAATGAATGAAATAACTATGTTTATAAATATTGGGGTAATCCCTTTCCGTCCTTTTTTTTACGAACATCGGTCAAAGAAGTCCGTTCCGAACTTCAGTTTCTTTGAAAAAGTCCGGATGTTCGGAATGAAAGTCGTCCAGGTGTTCGCAACGGAAAATACAGGATGTTCACAACATAAAATGACAGCTGTTCGGAATAAAAAATGACCGATGTTCGGAATGTACAATGCTAGAGAACGATATGCAGTCGAGCGTGATTCTACTTGGTTACGTATTTTTGTATTATTATATTTGATGGGTAGAGAAGCAGAAAAGGATGTAGCTATTGCTGTGAGAGCAATGCTCTTCAATTGCGTAATAATACCTGTCTAAAATAAGATGACAGTGATACATTGAAAAAAAGACATAAAAGGTTGGTTCGATAACGATGTTTTTTCAACGACAATAATTACCATAGACTTCTTCGTCTTTCAGCAGCGAAGCGTGCAAAGAATAATGAATACATATATACATCCTTTCTTTTTTCCAAGAACAATAACTGCTTATGACCATTATATAATTCACCAAACTAATTCAGTATGTTACGCGAGTCATCGTTCCAGCCAATCATGTTCAACATATTAGTCTCTATAAAACAGAGAAGTTTTTAGTTTTACTACTCATTTCCACTATCTATCTGTAAGAGCTATCGTTCACGACTGAACTCTACACTATTTTAAAAAACTCTAACTGAGTGTACAACAGAAAAGAAAAATATTTTTCAAATTTTTTTACCCATTGGGCTTCATAAACTTCTTCAT